CACCACAGCATCCTTGTCCAGAGTGGACTGGAGCATGAGGGCAGAGACAAAGTGAGAGTACTCCTCAGGGAGAGCACGAATGAGCGCCATGCAGGCCAGCTCCTGGTCCAGAGAGTCGAGGGTGTAGGCAGGAGGGCGAAGGTCCTTGATCCTGGCATAGAGGGTGTCCACCCTAGCAATGAGGGAGCTGAGGGACTCCTCAGGACGCTTTCTAAGGGCGAAGAAGTCATCGAAAGCGTTGAAGCAAGTGCCAGGGATCTTCTGCTGATGGACAGCCTGGAGAGCATCCCACATAGCAGTGGGATCATCCTCCTTGCCCTTGACATGGATGCGCTGCTCCTCAGACAGGGAGAGCATGAGCTATCAAACTCAGAAGAGGCACTGGTGTCCAACAGTGAGCAAGTAAGGAGACGCTCTGTGAACACCAGGATTATATAGGTGAAAAGAAATAAGGGTTGGGAACTGTACAGTAGCTCGAGTTCTCCATAGTAAGCCAAAGAGGAGAGAAAGGCAAAATAGGGGCAAAGTCGCGAGATACTGGATAAGGAAGGTGGTGGAGGTATAAACAAGACACAAGTAGAATCAACACACAATAACTGAGTGGTTGCAGCACTCTGGGCACTACCACAAGGCTCTAGGTTCAACTCACACAACAGGCAAGTTTTATCTCTCTCTACCCAAGTGCCCTAGAACATTGTGAAGCATGCCAAGGCCACTGGGCTGTGCCAAAGGAACAAATGCAGAGGTGCTGGGCACACTTTGACAAGGCAAATTTAACTCATGAGTATGTGATATACATGTTGATAGAGGCATGAGCTAGCCATGCATTTTTTGCGCTGTGTAAGCAAGTTAAAATGCTGATAAGTCTTGTATAAATTCAAGCAAGGACTAAGTGCTGAAACAATTCCTCAAGACCTCACTTACAATCATTTCAATTATCTGCTACTGGCTGATGAGACTTGCACATTTTTCACAAAGGAGACCATTGCTAACTTTTACTGTCCCTGCTTCTTACCATGTTCTGACTAGCTACACACATCTTTTGTGTTGTCTTTCACTGAACTTTGGGTAAATCTCCTTCTGTATACACTAGCTGAAGTTGTCGCAAGAACCAGGAAAACTATCAACATACCATTGAAAAGTATACATTCACTGGAGCAGAAGGAGGAGACAAATTTGAAGGAGTTAGCAATACCAAACAGCAGGCAGACAGATTTGAAGGACTGCAACTGTACTTGGGAGCAGTTCATCAGAAGGATGATGCAGTGCTGTACACAATGAGTGGACTGGGGAAAATATGGCCTGGGTGCTGCAAATACTCAAAGCATGGTGATTAACAAAATAGTGAAACATCAATAGCTGCCTAAATAAAACAACTTGCCTGTATTTCTGGACTGAGTGGAATATAAGACCCCTGAGGGATCCACATATGGCATGCTTCATAAGCACCCATAGTTTTGGGTAGTCAGTGAAAGCTAGCAACACAGCTGCATACATCTTACGATAATGGGCCTGCAGTTGTATGTTGTCCTTGCACTTTCAAATGACATGGGCTGCACAGGTGTTCTGGATGCAGATATTAGTTTACAAGTTGCCCCAAGACCTCAATGCAGGAGGTGCACCATCAGGTGGGACTACAACTCTTGGAGTGTCCCAGCTAGATGTCATTGAGAGGAAGGGGGAGGGACAGTTCATATATACCCTCTGTCTCAAAGGAGGTGGTAAAGGAAAGGGCAGTGGAGGTTTGTGGAGGAATTGGCACCAGGGTGGCTATCCTTGGCCATGTCCTTGAAAATGCATATGGCCATGTATAACCACTGTTACCGCAAGTGTCAGATAAAGAAACTTACCGGTATGCCTCGACCATCCTATTCAGCTGCCTAATTTCATTTGAAAGGGCTTGATTGCCTGCTCAAAGCTCTTCCGGTGTTGCCATTGCATCAACATCACCAATCTAGCTGTAAATGGTAACAGAGAACTGGACATGGGAAATAGACGACCTACTTTAAGTGGACTTGGGCCTGGGTCCCTAACAGAAGTGTCAGTGTTGGTCATGGTGATAAAAAACGAGTCAGGAAAAGTGGTTGGGGAGTTGGATCATGATGAGTGCGCAAAAAAAAGCAATCCTGCCCCCTTGCAATCTTATTTAACTGACTTTACTGTCACATGATCTAATTGCAAGCTTGGTGAATCACGCGCCACCTTGCCATTTCTCATTGCACCATGTACAGCCTTGTACCTACATGCCCCTACACTCCATCTTACAAGCACAGCAACTCAGCCGCAGCAATGACTACACCAGTGCCCATTCTGGGTCTTACATCAATAAGTGAGACCCAATTGGATGAGTTATCCAAGTTATCAGGGCTGTCTGAACCCAAGACATCAGATGACCCTGACAACTTTTTTTGCTGATACTACGGTAAGTGGGAACTCCCATGCATTACTCATATGATCAGTTCCTGATGAGTTTTCAGTACCCACCACAGGATGAGCCTGTCAAACCCATCAAGAGGAAACCTGTGCCCACCTGTGCCTATCTCCGTTGTTTGTGTTGCAAGCATGATGATAACTGGGGACCACTTATTGAGTATGTCAACTCAGAGGTGTGTTTCCTGGTTTTTATTAGTGATCTATATACTAACTATTCAGGGAGAGCAGTGAGTGAAGAAAATTAAGAGGAGGACAAGGACCCTCTGGCATCGCAGACTGGCCCACCACAGCTTGGGGGTGGTCCAGGCTCTGTCAGAGTGCGATTGGGTCACTGGCATGCAGCTGGACTCCAAGGACCGCCCTGACCCTATCTGTGAGCCTTGCCTCGCAGGTAAGCAGCATGCCAACCCGTTTCCACCGTCCTGCCCTCCTCGAGCTCGTGCACTCAGATGTCCATGATGTGGGCCACCTCTCCATGTCCGGCTATCGCTACTGGGTGTCCTTCATCAATGACTACTCTGTCAGAGTGCGCCCAGCACCTCTGCATCGCTCCTATGCCCTTGGCACAGCAGCCCAGTGGCCTTGGTACGCTTTCCAGCATTCCAGGAAACTTGGATAAAAAGAGGTAAAACTTGCCTGTTGTGTGGGTTGAACTTAGAGCCTTGTGGTAGCGCCCAGAGCGCTGCAACCACTCAGCTATTGTGTGTTGAAGTATACTTCTACTTGTGTCTTGTTTATACCTTCACCACCTTCCTATTCCAGTATCTCGTGACTTTGCCCCTATTTTGCCTTTCTCTCCTCTTTGGCTTACTATGGAGAACTCGAGCTACTGTACAGTTCCCAACCCTTATTTCTTTTCACCTATATAACCCTGGTGTCCACAGAGCGTCTCCTTACTTGCTCACTGTTGGACACCAGGTCAGTACCCTTGTAATTCGTCTTTATCAATACTACTTGCTCACTGTTGGACACCAGTGCCTCTCCTGAGCTTGATAGGTTATGAGCCCCGCGCTCTGAGCCGTCTAGAACGTCACAAACCGCCTCAACGTCGCTCAACGCGTCCTAGAAGCCCCTCACCACCACTCCATCCACTCCATCCAGCCTCTACTCCCTATCTGATCTCCTTGATCTCTCTCCTGTACCACTCCATCGCTCTCACCACCACTCCAGCACTGCGCCTACGCTCCCTAGCACTCGCGATCACGCCGATCACGCTGCCAACATGCTCAGCGACCGCAAAAACCCCCTCCTAGGTCGCCCTCTTGTGCTGGATTGCTGGGGATTGAGCCCTAGATAGCTGGATTAGTGCCTGTTGGCTGGTTTTCGGCCTCTTTGGTGTGTTTCTGTCGCTCTCAGCGCTCTCCCTGCGCGCCCCTCGCTGTCCCTCGACTCCACGTCGCTCCTGGACGCTCTCTGCACCCCTCCTCGCGCCTCAACGCTTCCCATCTCCTCACCATCTCCTCACCTCTTCACCTCCTCTGCTGCTGTACCCCTTGTCCCCTCGCTCTCCCATCGTCTTCTACACCTCTTCATCGTCCCCATGCCCGACGCCGACGCCTCCAAGCGTATCAAGGCCCTCACCAAGGACAACTATGCATCCTGGGCTGTGGACTTCAGCGCTCTAGCTCGCTCCAAGGGGTTCTACAGGCTTTTGAAGGGTACTGAGACGCGTCCTCAGGACCCTGACAAGGCTGAGGACTGGGATACTCGCCAGGAGAAGGCAGCTGGCGAGCTCATGCTCTCCCTGTCTGAGGAGCAGCGCATCCATGTCAAGGGCAAGGAGGATGATCCCATGCTATGTGGGATGCTCTCCAGGCTGTCCA